TTTTGACTGTACTCTTTGGAGGTTTCCTGAAGGATACGTCAATGAGAAGCTGGTAAAAAAAATAAGATAAGCGAAAACTTACCCTCGACGTACGTCCGAAGAAGAAGATTCGTCAGAACTCGACGAGTCTTGCCTGCGGCGTTGGAAGTGTCTTCTGGTTCTGATGTCTCTGGTTCTCAGAACTGAAGTTTGCACTGAACAAAGAGAATACGGTGACAGGGTTATCAAAAAATTAATAGTTGGAACAATAAAATTGAAATCTTCAATTTCAAAACACCAGAAATGCAATACTTTTCTCGACGTACGTTTCACCAACCAAGTTGGCTTCTTCAGAAGATGAAGAACGGCCTGCACTTTTACAAATCGTGGTTTGAGACTTTTGATACTATCTACCAGTGAAGCTATCATATTTTTGAGATTGAATAAATTTCTGTCCCAGCCATATTTTTATTTCTTGATAAAAAAAAATACAACCACTGCCCTCCTAATAGCATTAACTGCCGTTAGCAACTTGTTACCTTTTTTTTTAATTCTCTCTTAGCCATCGAATATCAATCACCATAAATAATATTATCAGAAAAAGGTAATAAACTTTGATGAGTACCTGTCAACAGACAAACAACGAAATTCGCGAGGTTTTATTATTTCCGAGTACTGCTATATTCATGTTGAGGTCGCAAACTTTTTAGACCATCCCTGTATTATCATGGATAGTGTTTGTTAGAAAGTGGTTGACAATGTTTCGTGGTGTATTTTCTTATATTATCACTATCATTAACGTACTGTTATTTTAATATTCTGTGATTGTATCTATAAACAGACAGAACTTTTTTTTTTCAATATATACTTATATTTGAAGTTTGTATTTTTGTAACTTTCCATGTTTATTAACTTTTAATACTTATTTTGTATTTGTAGTGTTGTAGTTTGTAGGTTCTGTTATGAACATTTGTATGGACTTTGGAGATGAATAAATTTTGATTTGATTCGAATTTGATTTGATATTCTAAACAGGATTTAACATATGATTTGAGGAGAGTGATAAAACTTTCCGTGTGTTTGAAATCTTCACAATTCCAATAGAACCTCAACATTCTTTTTGCAGCAGTTACACTTTTCTCTATGTGAAGGGCAAATGAGAGTTTGGTATCAAAGATTACTCCCAAGTCTTTGCAGCTCTCTGTTTTTGCAAGTGAATAATTATTTATCGAATAATTGTGGTCATGATTGGTATGTTTGTTACTTAAATTGAGTAAAGAGTTTATTTGGAAATGAATTGCTTTCTTCTTCCTTCAGCAAGACTCCCACTTTCTTTCCTATAAATATGGAGAAGTAGAAAGCCAAAACCTTCCCTCAACAATATTTCGAGTAATATATTTACCTGGCGGGCCATGGAAAAGCACTCCCCTTGGCGGCTGTATCTGGAACTGCCTGAACACTTCTGGATACATCATCGGAAGCAGTATCATCTCCTTCAAACACTGGATGTGACTATCCAAACCGCCGATGCTGTTGAACCTGACGCTGGCGTCCAGAGTTTCCGGTTTGATCGGAACGATTTTGGTGCTACCTCCGGCCCCGGATTTCATTTTCTCGTTTTTGGAGTGGGGACTCTTTGGAGGTTTCCTGAAGGATACGTCAATGAGAAGCTGGTAAAAAAAAGAAGAAAAGCGAAAACTTACCCTCGACGTACGTCCGAAGAAGAAGATTCGTCAGAACTCGACGAGTCTTGCCTGCGGCGTTGGAAGTGTCTTCTGGTTCTGATGTCTCTGGTTCTCAGAACTTGTATGTTATTTCTTTGTAATTTCAGTTTTTTGTTTAATGAAATTGTTTATTTCGGTTAAGCTTATTAATTTTTTATTTGTTTTTTCAGAGTTTTCAAATCAGTTTATATTATATTAGACAATTGGAAGTCCGAACTGATGAAATATGGATAGTGTTATTGAATTTCGATCGATTTTTTTTCTTCTTTCCTTTTTTTTAATCTTAGTTCTTTGAATTGATTTGTATTTCTAGTTGTGTAATATAGGTAAAAAACAATCGATATATTCAAAATTTAAACATTTTGAACTTCTGAGAAAGCAATATATGAACAGTTACTCAGAAAAGTTTTGAATTTTTGTGACATTAAAAGCTGCTTCGAAACTTAGAGACAGGGCTTACAAAGAATTCATTAAAACTTCCGGCAGTGAGAAGGAGGAGTCCTGGAATCGATATAAACTGAGACGGAATCAAGTTGCTGATATGTTAAAAATCGAAAAGTCTCAATACTATAAAAACAAAATTGATGCGAATAGTGATAACTTGAGGGAAATATGGAAAAGAATGAAAATATTGATAAAACGTGATAAACAACCATTAAATTTCAAATCTACCAATTTTAGTACTAGTCTGTCGTCAAAGCGAGAACGGAGCTACAACCTACTAACAACTTCAATTTCATTTGAAATTGAAGCATCGAAGATATCTCCAATTCTACTGTAAGTGTAACATAATGGTCTCCTCAAAATCTGAATAATATAGAAACGAGATTTGTTGAATTCGAGAAGATTGATATAAGTAAGCTGAAGTCAATTATTTTTCCACTCAAAAATAAAGGCAATGCTGAAGAATTAATGTCTACTACATTTTTGAAATCAACATTTTTATAAATAATGCGGTTGAAATGTCAGACTTCAGAGCAATAAATACTTTGCCGATTATTGAGAAAGTTTTGCAAATTGTTGAACATGAACAAATTACTAGGTACTTTACTGAAAATAACCTGTGTGTGAAACTGCTCTTCAATTAACAGTTTCAAAATGGAAGAATGAAATCGATAGCGAAAAATTTATAGTAGCAGTGTTCCTTGATTTCAAAAGGGCATTTTAAACTATCGATAGGCAAATATTACTTCGTAAACTGAGATATTATGGAATCGATGGAATAGCCTTAAGTTGGTTCAAAAAATTATCTCAATGGCAGGTCACAAATAACTAAACCTGCTAAACCACAACCATGAGGTTGTAAGGGTAGTGTTGGGTCTACTAACGGAGAATAACCGACTCAGGAAACATATGAGAAACATAGGTCTGACAGGTTCTGTCAAGAAGAGGAAGAAACTGCACTGCATGTGCTACAGAGGCTGTCAGCTCTATGATGGGGTCAATGTCAAGGCTATGGAGTCTCATCAAAGAGATCAAGCTAGACAATGAGCTTTAACAACCAAGGAGCATCGAAATAGATCTGAAAAGGCCATGGGACAGCTTCCCGACAATCTAATCTAACAACTTCAAACTTACTAGTCTTTGGAGCAGGTTTGGGTCTACGATCCCTCAAAGAGTACTTCCTCCTCTCCTCTTCAGTCTCGGAACTAGAATCTAGAAACAAAAAAATTAATTCCAGAATTTTCAAGAAACTTTCAAGAAATGTTACGCACCTAATACTTTCTCAGCCCTTACTGGCTTTATCGTTCTTGTGGGGTAACTTGCATTACGCAACAGGTTGGCGGATAAGTTGTCAGTCCTGTTTCTGGTAACAGGAAACGTAGAGTTGCGTAGCATATCGTTCGGTAAACTGTCAGTCCTAGTTCTGGCGGGGTTTGTTCTCAATCTGGTCAACGGAATACAGTCTTGTTCGTCGCTGTTGGAAGACTGAGGCAGTTTGCTGTCGTTGGGTTTTTTCGGGGATTCATCTGCGATACAAAACATTTTTACTTCATTTTCAATCTTCAACAATGTACTCAGTAACTAACTGACGATAATAGTTCATCAAAACTCTAAAAGTTGTTTCATTGTTTCAGAGCAACATCTTCGATGAACCGCGAGGACCTAAAGGAGGTCAAAATGGGTTAAGTCAGGTGATCTTGTAGGCCACTTGACAGAACCATGTGTTTCCATCCATAATTCAAATTTCCACTATGGGGTATCATCGGATTCAGTAAATTGAGCAGATTTGAAAATGTAATAGTATACAGGGTGTTTCATGTGAAAATAAAACTGAGGAGTAGGCATGTTGAGACAGGAGGCTAGACAGTTATACTTTCTTGAAACTGGCTTCAAAGTCGAAGATAAAACAAAAAAAAAACTGACTAATCCACTGTTGCTATTTCGGAACGAGTAAGAACTACAAGGTCGGTTAAATTGGACAAAAGATTTCTATTTTGAATAACTAGAATAATTCTTTTTCAGATCAAGAATATCAATGGTTATTTTAAAAATAGCCGCCAAAAACTAGAATTGCTGAATTTCGGTTTTTTGACTGTACTACCTCAATCTCGAGTGATATAAAAAGATACACAAGGAACTTTCAATACTCTTTCATATTTGTTATAATCTGATATAAATCACTTTGCAATACGATGTTTCGTTCATTAGACTTCATCCTAAACTTAATTTTTTTAAATACTGACCTCTAGTTTTTTTTCATCGAAAGTTAATGCAGTAAAGCTGCTGGAAAATAATTCCATGAAAATGAAAAGCTAAAATAGATGAGTATTACTCAGATCATTCACAATTTGATTTCACTTCAAGAGCTACCGGTAGACACCTGTTTCAGCCTGTTAAGCATCATCAGTACCAAGCAGGCAGTCCTCGATTGAGGTTTCTCAGTTTGTCTTCAATCAAAGACCGTCTACCCAGTACTGACGAAGCCCAACAGGCTGAAACATCTGTCTATTGGTGAATTTTGAATTTAAATCAAAATACACGACAAAGATATTCGACTCACTGGTAGAATTAAAAGTTTCTTCGTTTTTTGGGGCATTGTAGTCGAAGCACTGTTTTTTGTTATTCAAGCTTTCGGAAAAAATTCATTCTTTTTGAAAAATATCTACAACAATAAAAAATGGAAGCAATTAATGAATGATGAAATTATAAAATAAACTCACCAAAGTTAGATTTAAAAGAAAAAACGGGCATTTGCCAAAAAAATATAAAAGTTGACAGATGAAATATGCCAAATGAAATGAGGTGAAATGATTTGTCATAGCAAATGAGAAAATGAATGAAAAATGTTATTTTATAATAAGAGGATATGACCGTCAGAGATAGAGATAGAAAATTTGGATGTAATTCTCAAGGCTTTTGACAGTCTTGACCAATATGTACATTATTTGTTTAATAAAGATAATGAAACGGCTGAAGTGAAATATTTTGAAAACATTTAAATTCATCACAAATCTTTGTCCAAGACGAAGCATCAGTTAAAAAAACGTCCAACAAAAACTGCACACCCTTTCACAACATCTACATACCCACATTTCCGTTGACTTTCGGTTTTTCATGATCGTCCTGATCCTTACTCTCGTCCATTTCTCCTCTATCTTCGTGGTCGTTGTCGCTACGTTTATCTTCCATGTAATTTTCCATCTTCACCAGATTCCTCAACCTGCCACTCGATCTTCCGTTCACCAGGCCGCTATCTTTCTTGTTCTCCTTATCGTTGGACTCCCTGATGGGCTCTATATCTAGATTTCTGCGTCTGCGACGTCTAGTAGTGACGTCTTCAGCTTCGAATTCGAAGACCTGAGGGTTAATTTATCGTTTGAATAACAATACGAATATACAGAAATACGTCGGGCAAACTTGAATATCTGCCAAAACTCGCTTCAATGATCACAATTACAGAGAAACCGACCGTGTATCCTTACCTGGTGGTGTAGCGAAATGTCATTCTTTCTGCGGGTTATCCTGCGCGTTATTTCCATAGTGTTATGAGCATCAACGGCGTCTCTACTATCTTCTTCAGAGTAGCCAGCATGGAGGTTGGGGTACCCCACTTTGTGCATCTGGCTGTCGGCCAGCCAGGACATATTCACAGGCCTCTTTCTTTTACTTCTTCTCACCCCTCCTGATGAATCAGAAAAGGTTAATTTTAATAATTTTTTAATAAGTCATAAACGTTTATCTGATTCTCAACATGGATTTCGCATGGGCAGGTCAACTGAATCTGCTACTACCCTTTTTGTTGATTTCATATCTAGGAATATGGACAATAGGANAATTTATTTATTTCTTTCTTTCTTTCTAATATGTTTTCAACTGGGTTCAACTAAAGCAAATCAGTAGGAATCCTTATCATGACGAGTATTTATCTTAATAAATAGTAGTAACATCAACATAGAAATGAACAATGAAAAAATTGAAATTGTAAAGGAATTTAAATATCTGGGATTTATGTTGGATAATCATTTATTATTTAGTAGCCACTTTGAATATATACAAAAAATCTTGAAAAAACTGTATTTCTTTTCTGGAGTGTCCCAAAACTCAAGTCTGAATTCCAGAATAACTGTGTATAAGACTATCATTCAACCTCATTTTGAATATTGCCCTACATTAGTATACTGCTTTGATCTGATCCCAATTACAAAAGCTACAAAATCGAGCAATGAGAATAGTATTGCGATCTAGTAGGTCTACTCCTATATCATTGATGCTGGAAACTTTACAGTTATTTACTGTGGAGCGAAGACTGACTTACATAACTATGATCTATTCTATATCTGTAAACCAAATCCACACATCCGTCACGAAGCATTTCCGGACACAAGTTCATATAAACTTTTTTTCTTAAAGTTGTCTTAAGAATACGCCACTTGCATATTTTAACGTACTTATGTTTCACCCTGTATATGTAGATGGTGTCCGAATTGTATAACCCTATTTGCTGTTTGGAAAGAGTTTTCACGGTATTCATTTTACCGTCTATATCAGAGCGGCTTTGGTTCGCAGTACTTTTTTTTTCCTGTGTTGGCTATTCTTTGTAATTGTCGTTACTATCAGTTGCCATTCTATTTTTTGTAACTATTCTATGCGGCAACAAAATTACTTTTTATTTCATTTTAATAACAAACTGACATAATTTTTGAACTACGATGGAAATTCAGATCATTCCTATTAGGGATTGAATAATATTTGAAACAAGTTGAACGAAGATCAAACTGATAAATATTATTCATTTCTTTTTTTATTCAAGGTCATAAACAATATCATCACCTGCTCTCAACTGTTACATATGTTGAATTCTTGGGTTCCTAGATGATCATCTAGGAATAGTGTCACATTTTATCTCAACACTACGCGTACAAGTATAATGAAAAAATCTCCAATTTATACAATGTGCGATACCTCTAATTCTGTTAGTCATGTCCTAGATATATTCAACTGCCAGATTATACAAATCAAAAGACATTTCTTAGCTAACTGACAGTTAGTACATATTTGTAAATGCCACTGTTACTCCCTAATCGGTAATTGGGTTCATCCTGTAGAAGAGTGTATGAAATAAATAAATAAATATTGATGAGCTGTTACAACAGCAATTTGATTATGAAAATTAAAACTCTTCCTGACATTTTTACGATTTATAACTTGTTAAATAATGTAAATACCATATCACTTATTCATATAATGCTATAATTTTACTTTCTATACATTATAACACGTTATAACAAAAATTTCCATTCAGAAGTACTGCTATAGTTCACTTGAAAATAAATAGACTTTTTGTCAACTACTGAAGCCTTACCCGAATGTTTCTCGGTTGTATCTGTAACATTTTTTCACACCAACTACATTTTAATTAATTGTAGGTATAACTAATTTGAATAAGTAGCAAATCATAGTAAAAATAAATCGTAAAATTCAAATCACAGAAATTTTCAGGCGTTAAATATTTATTTTGAATATTCCATCAAAATGTTTCTGACTAGCAAAAGCAAATATTGCAATACTCACCAGATCACGAAATGCTGAAATTCAACATCACACAAGTCAAATGAATCAAATGAATGACTTTAATCCAATAACAGGGCCAATTTATAAGGCAGGTATGAAATTAAGTCCCCACTGGAGACAAATGATACCTGTGGTAAACAGGTAAGGGAAATTTGGTGATTTTATAATAATGAATGCACCAAAATAAGTTATAGAAACAAATACCAGCTTGCAAAAGTTTGAATACTATATCAAATTGAAACACGTACCTATATAATTTAAACTATTGTAGTAATTTTTATGTATATATTATGATAAGTTGTCAACACAAGTTAGAATCGCTGTTGGCAACACTGATCATTGGCAGAAGAACTTTGGCATTGACAGTCACAGTAGTTAGGTCAGAGTAACAAAAGACATTGGAGAGGCCTTTTGCATCCTTATATTGAAGGCAGCATAACTTTGTTTGTTTACGGGAAGTAAGTTGGACCACAAAACAGTGGCGGATGGTTTAGTTGATAATCGGAGGGGTAGTATATATTTATAAAATAAATCATTTCAGGTGAAAATGTATTCTGTATTCTGTTCTGTGATTTATTATTAATGTTTATGGAAATGAGACCAGTTTTTCTACCACCTTCTAGATTTTTATTTATGTATGGCTTTATAGTAAAGCGCGTGGTTTACTGATTTAAAATTAAATTATTTCGTATGAACTAATTCACAACAATGATAAATGTTATTTTCAAAATGAACTTTGCTTCATAAAATCAGAAGAAATTTGTGATTTATTCTCAGATTTGATAAACAAGCGGTACGTACGGTTTGTGAGGTCCGATATAAAGAATTTTCGATCAGAAATCATGATTTCATTCAAAATTGGTATCTAGGGGTCTTTGTGGACCGACATTATAAAAGGGGATATTTTTGATGTTTTTAATGATAATTTTTTGACACATCCCAACCAAAAAAGGTTAAAAAAAATGACAACCGTCATTTCTTATTGAATATTGTCCGTATGCAACGCGAGAGCCTGGTGCCAAAAAAGAAAAACCAAAACGGAAATGATATTCTTTGTGTGACGCAAGTTAGTTTTTAAGTGAGCAATAACAGATTTAACACCGGTTGCACGAGAATAACTATTTAGTATACAAACTGAACATTGAGCAGAAAGCTTTTTAGTCTGTTGACCACAGAATGAATATGACCTATGGCACATATATGAGAAACATATTTTTAATTTTTGAATACAGTTTTTCTCATAATGAAAAGAAATCAAAATTTCTATGTTTTTTACCACTTTTATTTGTAACTAACGTTACTACATGTATTGTATTGGTGTAGACATAGCAACTCTATGTCTTATTACTCTGAGGTAGTGAGTATTCATTTGGATTGATGGCCATTTGTCATTATTGTCAAGAAATGAAACCATAGATGAACGTTTGAAGTTTTATTAATATGTCCACACCAGACAAGTACTACACTATATGGATATGATCAAGATCCTTTGTTCGATTTTTGATCAGGGAATTTGAACAAAGTCATATTATTTAACAAGCCACGAAATGCTAAAAAAGTCTCCAACTTTTATACAATTAATCCCCCACAAAAACGACCTGAATGACCATCCTATCTATAGACTTTTAATCAAGGGCTGTTTCTGTACTTTGATTATGAGATATTGAATAAGGAAACATGAGTGAAATAATTAATATGAGCCAACAGTCAAACGTGAAATCATCCAGTTTCAATATAAAAACATTTAGATGATGTGGAGATCAAATCATGAGGTGTAGTTTTTGAAATTAGTATGGATCTTCATCAAGTAACGGCTGAATCAATCAGAAAAAAAATAAATTTGATGACTCTGCCTATAGGAAAAATCATATAATCCTGTATTCAAACTTGACTCATTGAATACTTTTTTAATTGATTTTTCAATTTGAGAGCAGTTGCAGATGTTTTTTATTTCTTCGAGAATTACATCATTATATATTATAATTCCATCATGATGAATCCCAAAATTAAATTTGAAATAACTAACTAACTAACTAACTTATCTAGTGTTATGATTATGAATATTATTTATTTCTAAGAAATTTATGTTTGAAATTGTTTGTTATTGAATAAATGCAACGACAAAGTTTTTGTTTGTGTGTTCAAATCTAATACATATTTTGGTTTACACAAATTTACAATGAATTCAGAATATGATAATTTATATACAGATTCAATAGTTTTATTTTGTAATTATTTCAAGGATTTCCTTATGGATTTATTGGCTGATCCCCAAATAGAAATGAGATGATACATCACTGTCTACAAGTGAGGATGACAGTGTTCCATGTAAGTGAAATTTTCACCTTTCATTCAGTATACTGTGTAGAAATCCTATGAATGATATCTCATTTATTTCCATAACGAATGTTTGGAATACAAAATGAATAGAGCAATGAGCAGGAGTAAATAAAACCGAGGAGATTTTCACGTTCAGGATTCAGAAACGATTCAGAGAGAGTATCTATCGTAAAGCCGGCACGAAAGCAAGGCTCTAGCTAGGGACTGTCCGAAACCTAAAAACATCTAATGTCAGTCAAATTAGTCAATTCAATTCAGTCAATCATTTCCTATTCTTAAAATATTGGTAGAGAATTCCATAACGCATGTTTTCAGGTTTTTTGCTATAGTTTCATCATACACGTCATTCTTTGAGATACGGAGAGACATTCTAGAAAGTACCAACGGTGAACCGTAGCAAGTATCAAAAATTAAGTCCTGATATTGATGATATATTTTGGAGCGGTCTGATCACTGAAATCTAAAGTTCTTTCCTTGAAAAGTAGAGGATAATTCAAGTATTTACCTTTTCTCTGTTCACCTAAGACAGCTGTTGACGGGGTTAATCGAAAAGTAGGTCCTGAATATATTGAAATTCAGACAGTGAATATTCTCTACTCATTTACTCATTTTCTTAATTATCTATCTGTGTCAGTTTAATACTCTAATATTTTTATTCAATATTTTTCTGTGATAAGAGTTCCCCAGTAGTAATAGCGTGATCAAAACGGCCTATAGCTGCGTATCAACATCTTTGCTCAAAACGTTTGTTTCAGTATCGAGTAATAGTTCTTTAAACTTGATGTATATATATTTGCCTGCCTTTTTTTACATTTGGAGGTATTACACATTAGTTAGTAGTGAAATTTGTAAATATCTCTTTCTATATATCAATTTAATACAAATTTCAAGCTTGAAGCTTCGTTGTTGACTTTTTGGCTATTTCTCCACCCTTTCCATCTATCTCGACTGTAAAAAAACGCATTTTCCTTACTCAAGTCCAACCACAACAATAATCTACTAGCCTGGGCCGAGCTACTTTTTGGTAATAACATAAATACCAAGGAAGGTTATAAGTGTCTTCTATTGTTTTTGTTGATTCCCAATAAGAAATGCATTGATTGATAAAAGTTCTACGCTACACTCTACTTGAAATTAGTCGATATCATTGAAGAGATTGACATTATTTCTATGAAAATATTTGAATCACTTATAATTTGACAAAAAGACCTAGGGAAGCCAAACGAATCGAAATTTCAATTATGACTAGCTTTGGAGATAAAGTAAGGCCCCAGGCAGAAGTTTGTGATTCATTTAATAATAAATATCCAACCGACAACCCCTTTATCAATCAAAAATTAGTGAAACTGAGAGAAAGTTTGGAGAAACTGTTGAATAGAGGATTAGTAGACCTTATGAGGTGCCACATGACATGACCAGTGACGAAACGTCTCTCATATGTATATCATGTCATGAAGTTGACGTGTTTTTGGATTTCTTCCAAAAGAATCCCGTTTTATAAATATCGAATCCATTCAATACATTTGCATCGTACTGTACGTAAAAGTGAAGTCACGACCAGTACATATTATCATGTCTATGCTATATCTCTAGTCAACAAGTTCAGCTAAGTGAAACTTTGAAGACACAATTACCAATAAAAAAACTCTACTTCCCAACAACGTACCATCACTGTCCGAATTAAAATGCAGCGGGGAATGGGGATCGGCATAAGACTTTTGGCTGATGGGCCTCAAAGATAAAGCTGTACGTCTTTGAATTCTGTTCATCCTTATCAGATGTCTGCTCCTTCTTCCCCTGTTGACAAAAAAAAAAGTTAAGATTCGACACTTAGGCTGACCGATAAACGAGAAAATCTTACCTGACAGTGTACAACTCCTCTTCAGACTCATTTGCTTGTTCGTATTCGTCCAGATCGTCGTGCATTTCCATTTTTCTGCTATAGACTGCAAGACCTCTTCTCTCGTCCAAAGATATCCTCTTGTGGCTGCTCCTCACTGGACGAGCTGAAAACGAAACTATGTATTCTATCGGGTCTTTCATTAAGCGCTTCCTATCTTTAAATTTAAATAAAACTAAGTGTATCATCGAAATGTTTTACTCGTTTGAAAGACCTTTTCATGACATTATGTTCAAATGTCCGCCACGGCTTCTCTTGATGAAGGGCATCCGAAACGTTCAATTTTCCATGACCTTGGCGCATACATCAGGCTGAATTTGACCGATGGTATGGGTCATGTTGGCTATGGACATCGCTGTGGTTTGTGGCTCATTCGCATATGAGTGATTTTTTTGCTGGTATCTTTTTGGCAACACTGTTTTTGACAGATTATGCGTGAATCGTGTCTTGTGTCATTGTCAAACTTGTTCAGTTTGGTCTATAAGTTAACCATGAATCGACCTACGAATGAACAACGCTTGCAAATTATTGAATTTTATTATAAAAATTCAAGCTCGGTGAAGAAAGTGCATCGTGCACTTCTTCCACTTTATGGGCAGTTTCCTCGGCCTACTGAGGGAGCTATTCGGGAGCGTGTGACTAAGTTTCGAATCCAGTTTACATTATTGAACATTAAACCACCAACACGTATACGTAGAGTGAGGACCGAAGAAAATATTGCGGCTCTATCCGCCAGTGTTCGTGATAACCGTGAAATGTCGATTCGCCGCCGTTCGTAGCAATTGGGCCTCTGTTACTCCAGTACTTGGAGAATTTTGCGAAAGGATTTGGGTGTGAAACCTTATAAGATACAGCTGGTGCAAGAATTGAAGCCACACGACCTTCCACAACGTCTAACATTTGGGAATGGGCGCTGACAAAGTTGGAGGAAGTTCCACATTTTTATCGAATAATTGTGTTCAGTGACGAGGCTCATTTCCGGTTAAATGGATACGTTAACAAGCAAAATTGTCGCATCTGGAGTGAAGACCAGCCACAAGCATTGCAAGAGCTACTGATGCATCCCGAAAAAGTCACTGTTTGGTGGATTATGGGTCGGTGGCATCATCTGGCCGCACTTCTTCAAAGACGACAATGGCCGGAACGTTACTGTGAATGGCGAGCGCTACCGTGTGATGATTGGCGATTTTTTGTTGTTCAAAATGGAAGAATTGGACATGCCCGACATGTGGTTTCAACAAGACGGTGCCACATGCCACACGGCACGCGAAACAATGGCCCAATTAAGAGCNTCATATTGGAGGTGTTTCGCGTATACCGTCGACATATGTCAGGCCGTTACAGATTTGTTCACTTTGATATATGTATTACTGTTTATGGAGTGATCAGAACTTCTCAAAAAAAATGATAAATTCTAAATGAAATAGCCAAAGACTAATTAAACTTCCTCTTCTGGCTCTTTATGTAGGTAGTATTACAACTCTCATCTATTGATATGCCTGTTGGCCCCAGCACTCTCACATGTGAAATACGGCCACAATAAATTAAAATAATAACAAAGTCACAGAAGTGTTGAAAAAGCATGTCATATTGAAGGTGTTTCAAGTATACCATTTACATATGTTAGACCGTTACTGTTGATCAATACATTCATCATATCTACGACCAGGATTTTAATTCGTTGTTGAATAATTCATTTAGAATTCATCTTTTTTTTTGCTTCGTTGGTATAATTTGTTATAAACACTAATGTTAGGAGCATCTTGAAAATACATCGGTTGAAAAAATCAACAAATAGTAAGTAATGAATTGAAGGGCAAGGTAATTTTTTTCATATCCAATTCACTTCTGGTTCATTTTTTCGAAATTTATTGAATCAAATTTCGAAAAACAACCTTCGATAAAATTAAACAATATTTCTATTTGAAAAGAGAGTGTTTTGAAACCATGTCCGAACAAAAGGGTTGAAAATATAGACTTGAAAATTTGGAAATTAGTCATAGGTTTTCATTTCATATACAGGATGTCACGTAAGTTATGAATCAAACCAAACGTAGGTCCCGATTTCTCACAGTTTTTGAATAATTTTGATTTTTTCTTTTCATGTTTACAAAAATCCGAATTTTTTAAAAAAGCAAAAATTTTTGTAAAAAAGTCGAGGACATTTTGGCACATATCCATCTGCAAGCCGTAGAATTGTCTGGCTTCACCTGAAATTTGAAGCACAATGTTGTTTTGTAGATTTTTTTACAAAATAATTTCCATTACTCAAATGCTCGTTACTCAAAATAGCACAACAATAAAATCAATACTTTTTTTTTTTCAACCATTAAGTTTTGGGCTACAATGAGTTTGACTTATGACTTACGGAACATCCTGTATAAATGAGAATAAAGAGTATATGTGATACAACTAGTTTTTTTTACAGATGTAGACCTTTCCAATTATTTGTATGCGAAAAAAAAATCTGTGACTCGTTTTCATAAAAATATTTCGTTGACATTTGATAATTTCAGACTTGTAATCGATTACAAGCTCTCAAATTATCGGCAAGTTCATCAATTTCAATAAAATCCAGTCCGGTTTAGCCATAATTAGGTACTCTTCAAATATCAGCATAAAGTAGTAGCATTTGGTAGCATGTGCCACAGAAAAATTCAAATTTCAGAAATCAACGACAATTGAATTTTATAAAAACAAATCTCTAGCAATGGTTAAGGATCAGATATCGATTCCATTCTTTCTACCAATCTTCAGCAACAAGGTATGAACGGGGTCTATCCAATTCCAAAAAATGATTCATAGATGTATGGATCCAACAAAAATAATGCTGTTTTCTTTTCAAAATACTTTATATCGAAAAAAAAAACTTTCACCGAATTTATTGAAAACAAATGCAGGACTTCAGTGTCAGACTGATCAGAGGTATGCAGTTGGCTTTTGGTTCTTGCCCCGACTTCTATATTGGTCAAACGCAAATAACTTTCCCAAAAAGAATGAAAGAGCACCGACGTATTTTGTCGACATTTGCAGATAGGTTGAACGTAGCAGATTGAACAGATTTTCAGCACTTATCAATTGCTTATGAACCAGAAAAACCCCATAATAATGAGAATTGAAAGAAAGACAACATTTCATGGTTGAAGTCTACTTTCAAAAAGACACTTTTTGTAGAAATCGTAAGTCTTCCGATATTTTCTTTGAGATTTCTGAAAACAATAAGATTGCTTGCTTTATTCAACTTGGTAATTATTGATATACAGTGCATTTCTTTAATATCCCTCCTTTTTATTTTTTGAACTCAAAAATTGACAGATGAAACTTCCTCCATTTTGTAGTAGTTGAAGATATTGACATTATATTCTAGGGTTGTGAAGTATTCGTCTAAAAAGATGTGTCGTCACAAGACCCCCCTTTCCATTGATTTTGTTTTTCAGAGGACGCTCAGTCGCCATCTTAAAGTTTCATCTGTCAATTTCACTTCAAAATAAAGATTTCATGCGTTAATTTCATTATCCCAAATTTCAATTTTTTGAATTGACCCGTTCAAAAAATAAAAGAGGGGTGGATCATTAAATAAATTGACTGTATGTAATGAATTCTTAAGTTTAAGTATACAGGGCTTTTCATGATGAGCGTTAATTAGCCTGACAAACTATTCAACGGATCAACCTGAAAATTCCACAGTATGCATAAGTCAATATGACCTACACGCCTAAAATATTTTAGACGAAGCGGCGTTGTCGCTTCTACTATAAAGTAGCGACTTCTTTGATTTTTCAAATGGAACACCCCGTATATAATATATTATGATTCATTATCACTTTGTCAACAAATTCATAAAAAAAAATTATTGCCATTTTTAAAAATATCCCTAGACTTTTCCGATGTGCGTACATGTATATACATTTTACATATAAATTAATTTTTGATTTTTCGTTTTGAATTTTGACCTCTTATATTGCTATGAATGTTTATATTGTTATATTACTTTATATTAGCCTTATAAATAGCCTTTCCATAAACAAGCAGTACTGCTTTCATGGTATTACTTTATTCACAATCTGTACCCGTATATTGCTGTGAATAAATTAAATTACTATTATTATTATATGAACAAATAAATTATTTCACAAAATTTCCCAAGTGTCCCATTACTAACCATTGTATTTCCTGCCGGTAAATCCAAATCTGCTTCGTAGCTGCCTCGATGGTGCAGCAGTTTTTATAGGTGCTTTGGGCTTCAGAGGACTGTTTGAAGAAGAATCCTTGTCTGCAGAGTCTTCGCTATCACTTTCATTGACACTGGAAGAACCGCTTTCCTCTTCTGGTTCGGGTTTTATCAATCTGAGACTTCCCTAAGAATATAAAGTGGTTGTTTATCGAAAATTCATTTGAATGGAGTGTTACTGGTCCAGAAATTGAAAAGCGCTGACAATATCAGTCTCTTATACTATATGAATCATTTACAGTTGAAGTGGGATGGAAATCTTTTTTGAATTACTCAATTTCCAACAAAAATATAACACTGCCTCACTATTTCTGAGGGAACACTGTGCAAATGGACATATTGGTAGAAAAGGATTGGTGGAATGGCTAACATATTTGCCCGAACTAAGTCCTACAAAATTTTCCTTTAACAACGAAAATTTGAAATTTTCAGTCGTGACGTTATTTCGTCGACGAAATTATTTGAATATGAATAAACACAGAAAAAAACAGAAGAGAAAAGACTAATAGCCGAAATATTAGATATCATTTTGAACATCTATAAAAACCATCTTGAAAATACATCGGTTGAAAAAATCAACAAATAGTAAGTAATGAATTGAAGGGCAAGGTAATTTTTTTCATATCCAATTCACTTCTGGTTCATTTTTTCGAAATTTATTGAATCAAATTTCGAAAAACAACCTTCGATAAAATTAAACAATATTTCTATTTGAAAAGAGAGTGTTTTGAAACCAGTCTTGAAAAATCAAAGAAGCCGCTACTTTATAGTAGAAGCGACAACGCCGCTTCGTCTGAAATATTTTAGGCGTGTAGGTCAAATTGATTTATGCATACTGTGAAATTTTCAGGTTGATCCGGTAAATAGTTTGTCAGAAACGGCTAATTAACGCTCATCATGAAAAGCCCTGTATGATTGTTGCAAGCCAAGTTAATAAAGTCCGTTCACGAACTAATTAATACGTTTGAAGCGCAAGCTTATCAGTCTTTCCTATAACTTTGAAATTACATTGGTGAAGTGGTTATGCACTTATGTCTAAATTAGGCGTGAATATCTGAAGAAATTAGTATATAAATATAGAAATATCTACACCTTATCAGTTAACTTGTTTTCAATTATCTCCCAATCTTGA